GTTGAACACCATCCACACACCAGGCTGCAACCTGGGCCCTGGTATGTGACAGCCAGCAGGGCACTGCCACTCAGAGTCTCCAGGGTCTGGTTAGGAAAATGAACAAGAAAATGGGTGATTATGTACAGAATAGCGTACCCAAACTGGGAGATGTATGCGTGCAGTCACCTACATCTCAGCTGAGACTTAAAGGTGAGTAGATAATGTTAGCCCAGTAAAGGTGATGAGGGAGAAATGTGTTTGGAGAATTGACATGAGCTCAGTATGGCTGAAGTGGGAATAGCAGGGGCAATAATATCAGACTAGGCCATGTGAAATTGCCATTTCTCTGGATCAAAATAGACAAGTATCAGCCATTTCGTATGGTTCTAATGTAGTACTAAGTTAGCAGTTATCGAGGTCTTAATTTGTACCAGATATTATGCGATGCCCTATTTGTACATGGCTCTGTTTAGTATCCATAATAATCCAATAAGGCACATTCTACTTTTATCCAGATTTATACATAAAGACACTAAGGCCCAGAAAGGCTAGATACTCGCCTGGGGTCACAAGGCTGGCATGTGAGCGAGCTGGTTTGACACCCAGGCAATCTGATTCTAGCAGGGCTAGAGCCAGATCGTGATGGATGAAGATGTCTTTGAACCATGTCATGGAGCAGCCGTTAAAGGGTGGTTTCTGGTTGGGTTTTTTTAGGGGGTAGGACGAGTTGGTCTATGTTCATAACAGCTTTATTCATAATACCCCAACCTTGGAATAGCCCAGCTGGCCATCAACAGGAGAATAGATAAACAAATTCAGTTATAATCATACGACAGATTATTGCTCAGCCAGGGTGGGGACCCAAGAGTCACAGCAGACCTCAGAGCTGTGTGACGAGAACAGGCCACAAGTTATCCCAGCCATAGACACTGAGGCAGGGGACCCAGTGAGCTCAGAGGCCGACCCTCAAAGACCCAGAGAGAGGCACTCTGACTCCTTAGGAAGCCACTCCCTCCCCCCAGCTGCCACAGGGCACACACGTCTGCCTCTCTGGCACCGAGGCTCAGATGTTGAGGGGGAGCGGGGGGTGGCAGCATCATAAAGGTGTGTAACAAATACCTCACAGACAACAGAAATCGAGATAGCTCATTCAAGGATTTTGAAACAGGGCAGTTGACTTAGATGGGATTTGATTTTGGAAACCTCACTCCGGTGTGGAGAGAACACTGGGCAGGAGAGCACTGGAGACAGAGAGCGGAGTTAGGAAGGTCTCGTAGAAATAAAGGGAGGAGGTGAGGGTGGCTTGGACTCAGACAGGGACAGAGAAAGGGACAGGTTCCAGAGGTGTGCAGGACGTGGAGTTGACATGGGGTAGAGTTGGATTATCTCACTTGTTAGGGACTGTAGGAGGAGGGGCACACTTGGGAGTACCAGCCAATTTCAGCGACACACACGGCACGTGTGGTTTTTGCAGCTTGCCGAAGCGTGTGTGTTGTGATATGGTTGAAGT